ATTGATATTCGAACTCTAACTCAAAGTGTCTGTTGCTCTGCCAGGCTGACGCTGTCTCCTCACATGCTGAACGTCCAGTACCATTTTTGTTATGAAGCAAAAGGACCATGGCCTCGCCAAAGCCACGAGATACTGCAGAGAGAAAAACCACAACCAGACCTGGCCACTGTAGAACAGCATGGAACAGGTTGTGACAGCTCCTGAACAACATGGCCCAGGCCAATAACCAACCAAATGCCGAGGCGTCATCTTTTTCTCTGTCTTTTGGCATTCAAGATGAAGTTACATTCTTTTAGAGTCACAAATTAAAAAGAGAGATTTGCTTACAGAAAGCTAAACCTGTTTTTAAATCCTATGGGAACCTGAGCTATTAAACAGAGTTGAAAATGTTTTAAGCAAAGCTTATAGCATCAACCTGTAATAAAGTTGGAAGAGGTTTCAGCCAGTCAACAAGGGCTGTAAATGAATGTTGACTTGAGGGGATTCCGCTTTAGATCACCACGTACCAGGACTGCCGTCTCCATAAAACGGACCAACAAAACCTTCTCTTTATTTCTTTAAACATACACATTTTCTCAAGCAGCAGCTTTAAAGCCTTCTAACAGGGATTGTAATAATTATAACAATGCTCTTGGCTTCAGTCAGCCTGGAAGGGCTGTACGATGACCGCGACACCTGCGAGCATGGTCGAATGTCAGCACCAAGCCTTCTACGGGACCGGGGGAGGACGCGAGTCAGACCATGGAGGGTTCTGGAAACCAAGGCGAACCGGGCACACATGAACGATGCCCCGCCTTTTCCATTTTATGATGCGAAAATGGGCGATGAATATGATGTAATAACCTCTTCAGGGTGATCTGCTTTGATGTCACAAGCGTAAGCAATATTAAACTTAAAATTATTATTTACACACTTTAAAATCAATATCTTAAGCTTCTGAAATACCAATGCATTGATCTTTATCTTAACTACCGGTTCACAACCTTTTTTCTTGTGGACTGTTTTTTCTTTTGTTAGCAGTGTCCACTAAAGACATTTCCATTTTTCACTAAAATTCTCACATGCGTTTCATTTAAAAGATAAACGTAAAAATAAATGTATATATATTACAATTTTTTGCAAGACTCCTTTAGAGATTGCGTTAGGGTACGTGTTACATCTTATAGATCTTGTGCCTAAACACAATAAGAACAATTATAGAATCAATATCATTGAAGGAAGCTTCTAACCTGTAACACAGTATCCCTTCACTCGTTGTACTCCTGCTTTTACTAAAAGATCTGAGATACTTCTCATCCACTGATATACTAAGTTTCCTTGCCAACATTTCTATGTTGTTGAAAAACCCAGAACTGACATAATTACAATAGTACACATTTTGTGGGATTTAAATGTTAATTTTTGTATATATAAAAGGCCATCAAATACACCAGAGATTGCTGGCATGATGCTTCAGGCTGTATGTCGTGGGTGGTTGCCTACTTACTTCAGCTTTCTCTGCGCCGGGTCCATTTTCAGGCCGAAGCAACATTTGTCCTCCATTGAGAGCGATATGACATGGACTGGAGGGGGCCCAGGAGCTACTGCAGGGAGAAACACCACACAGACCCTTGGCCAGGGTGGGAGAAACCTTGACAGGAGAACAGCAGATTGTTGAGCTGGCTATCTGACAGGGTATGAATACTGGATCGGATCCTCTACAGAGACTCCTGGAAGTGCTGTGTCCGATGGAAGCTAACTCATCCTTTCAAGTACTTTGCAGATTATTAACCTAAACACAGTGCTTTAAAGGTTTGTGTGGCTGCCAGCTTTCGACAACTCTGGCAATGGGGAGGCCTTTTGGCACTGTGGAGCTGAAGAAAAACCCACTTCATCGCTACAGACGCGTGGGGCAGCTAAATCACAGCTACGTCAAAGCAAGGTGATGATATTTTGAGGTCTGGTTGAAAAAGCACAGACGACCATAAACGTTGTGACTGATGAAGTTGTGTTTTGTGTTTTATGGAGGATGGTGGCCTGTTTCAGCTGCAAGTGATAAAGGTCGAGGGTGAGTGATGGGAGAAACCAAACAGGGTGTGCGATCTGAACGACCAAGCTTTTCTGGATGCCGATGTTGGTTGCGAGGGTAATCATGTTTTTTCTCTACTTTTATGCAAAACATCACCAGAAAGGAAATTCACATCGACATGAGCAACAAGGAGACGAAAGAGGCTAGTGAAACAAATAAATTACTCTTAAGAATAATGAATTCAACAAAAGAAATGCTAGTAAATGAGATTTCAATATGAATGAAATGACCAAAAGGAACATGAATGAAATTCTACTATCCATGTATACATTTTCAGATACTTTGGCCCACAAAGTAACAGGACCAAGCATTTTTTAGGAAGGAAGACGTGTGAATTGGTAGAAGTAAAATCGCGAAACTTAGCCACAGCCACCAAATGCATAGGAACATGTACAAAAATACTATGTCCATAACCTGAGGCTAAGGCCTTTTTACACTGGAAGAAATAAGGCGGAACAGCCTACCATTTTCAGATGAGGTGAACTAAAGATAATAACATTACATTACATACATGTGCATTTAGCTGACGCCTTTATCCAAAGCAACTTACAATAAAGTGCATTCGACCAAAAAGATAAAACCTTGAAGAAAACAGAATCATATAAGCTACATCAGGCTTTCATAGAGCCAAAACATTTCCAAAGTGGCTACTCAACTGGGCTTTAGATAAGCCATGTCCTTTATTAGCTTATATTAAGTGCTTGCTTAATAATTCAATCGCTCGAGAGCGAGGCTCGAAAGATATGAGTTTTCAGTCTGCTGCCGGTATATGTGTAAGCTTCTGCCTGTCCTGATGTCAATGGGGAGCTCATTCCACCATTTTTGGGGCCAGGGATAGCCAAACCCACGCTGTTTGCTGGGGATGGGAACTTGGGGCTCCCCCCTCGCAGTGCGGTGCAGCGGGCGCGCTTTGGCTGGAATGCCAGAGCGAGTGCACGCGCTTGGGGGTGTTACGCGTTTACACCAGGTGTCCTGGATGTAGGAAGTGGCCTGGGAAGGGCCAGATCCATTCGCAGCATGGCTACGCAAGCTTACCAGTGTCTTGAAGTGGATTCTAGCAGTTACTGGAGCCAGTGAAGGGAGGCGGGAGCGCAGCCGAGTGTGGTGTGGGCGATGAATTGGTAGAAGGCTTGAAGACGAGACGAGGCCGGCTGCATCCTGCGATGAGCCTGCAGACCGGTCGGATGGCCACATGCAGGGTAGGACCAGCCAGGGAGCGGGAGTTGCATTAGTCAAGGCGTGAGATGACGAGAGGCCTGCGAAACATGAACCTCGTCGCTTTCTGGCGTT